GCAACTTAAGTCCGCAACTCCGCAACTCCGCAACTTGCGGACTTTCCTCTTGGTAGCGGAGTTACGGATCGGCTACCGAGCCCAAAAAAGTTGCGGAGTTGCGAGTTGCGGAAGCGAAAAATTCTAAAGCGCAACCGCTACCGGGGCCGCCACCGCTGACGGGGGCGAGAGAGAGAGAGAGAGAGAGAGAGAGAGAGAGAGAGAGAGAGAGAGAGAGAGAGAGAGAGAGAGAGAGAGAGAGAGAGAGAGAGAGAGAAATTCGCCACTTCAAAAGGTACTACATAACACTGCACTTCAGGACTAACCTTCCTACGGCGTTTGACAGCGTCTACCGTGTGGGGGGCGGGGGGGGGGGGGGGGTTGGACCCCACCCCCTGCCGTTCTGCCCCTGATCGAGCTAGAGCTTCGTGGGAAAAATGAGCGTGTTGCCCGTTACGATAGGAAGCCGATGACACCCAATTTTAAGGACCTAGGTCATTGGTTGACCTTGCAGGTCAGGTCAATGACCCAAAAGTCGGGAAAATCGGAACCTGCCATAACTTCGCAAAGTGAGGCTGTCATGGTTTTTTGGGGTGCTGAGCACGTATTTCATGTTAGTTTTGATCACAGATGATGTCTTTATGAGTTTAGGCCAGGTGTGGTCGGTCAGGTCAACCAGTAGGCGTCCTGCCGGCTATCTATAGTAGGTGTCAACTACCACTGACGGCGCCGTAACATTTAACGAAGGCACTTAGTAAAACTACTTCGTTAATGTTCAAATGGATGCAAAACTCGGGATCAGCCTAAAAAACTACCCTGGGAACATGTAAAACTAAAAAAAAGTGAGCCAAGGTCATCAAGGTCAATGACCTGACCTGACCGCCACGTGACATTGACACCCACCGTAATGCATGGGACGAACAATTCACATGTTCGGACGTTACAATCACAAAAGACTGGAAACGCGCGGATAATGTGAGCTGACATTCGCTGAATCTCGATTTCGGCCAAACATGGTCTCGATACCCAAGATAACATGGTCTCGATACCCTAGACCCCGCGCCCCACTGGGGTCAAAGGTATTTTGGGTTATAGAGTCATAAAATTGTCAGAGTAGGTGTAAAATTGATCAACTCGAGGGTACTGAAAGTTTCGTCGCGATCATCCGCTTTTTGCGCGAGTTATTAGCGAAAAACCGAGGGGTCCATCCAACCCCCACGGCCTATACATGCGAGGGCTAAAACTGATAAAACATGGTACCTACCTAATAGAGGTGGGTAGCGGAGTTGCGGAGTTGCGGAGTTGCGAGTTGCGGTTTTACGATCTACAAAATAGTTTCGGAGTTGCGATTGCGCTTTGGGTACCTCAGGTTGCGGAAGGTAGCGGTAGCGGTTTCCAAATTTCGGTAGCGATGCCCACCTCTGGCAGTCACATGCAGGTCCAGCATACGCCTGCGCCTTGCCATCGCATTCGCTTCTAACAAGTAACATCTATCTTAATCATTATACGTTTTACCGCCTTTCTACGATAATCAAATAACTGCTTATGGAACTATACCAAGAAGTAGCTCCCGCTGCGCCAAACACGCCATAAATCCCGGGGTAATGGCTGCTGTGTGCTATGGTTACATGTGGTCTCTGCCCGGCCACCGGAGGCCGCTTTGGTGCCGAGTCGATGGAGATGATATTTGGGCAAATTACCAGTGCTTTCCAGTTTCCGCGATAACTTATTTTCGGACCTGCGATAACGATAAAACGATAGGTAAGAAAGGTTTGCGATAACGATAAACGATAAACGATAACATTTTTCAAAAAATTAACAGCGATAACGATAAAACGACAAAACGATAACGATAGTTAAATGTTTGTTTATCGTTCATCATTTTTGTAACTTGCGATAAATGGATGAGCGATAATTCTGAAAATTTAGCGATAAACGATAACGATAACCGATTTACATAACAGCGATAATCATCGTTTATCGTTTATCGCTCATCCTATCGCATGCGGAAACCACTGCAAATAACGCCATGATTCCTGGCACATTGCGTCAATCAAACCATGCTCAATGCCAATAGCCCATAGGTAGATCACACTCAGCTACACAGGAAGTCACCAGCATCATCTCCCACTCTCCTTATATATTTTTGTAAAGTCAGTCTGCAAACATAATTTCGTGCCGTCAAGCCAGTGTCATGGCCGGGCCGTACCGGACATGCCTTTTCCGTCACCTGGCAGCTATACTGCACCGCAAGACATCTAACAGAAATACAAAACCATTTCTATTATAGTAAAGCGAGTTCGGACTCGGAGTCACCTATGAATTCTGAACCGCATAGGGTTAGCAGGAATGCACAGTTTGTTCAATAAAACGTATGTGCTTGTCAACAGGACTAAAAGCAACTTTATTTGTAAGTAATCGCACCACCGGGCGATTACTCACATTTAACTTTCTTCTAATGATGGTAAATAAGGTACACGACAATCTGACACCCGCTATTTCTCTTATCCCGACCGTTCGGACTTGTTCCCAGATGGTTCCCAGATAACAGCCGCATCAGCCGCAGGTGCCTGCGGTCTGGCAGCCGCCGCGCACGACAACTCAGCAGTATACTGCGCTGCCGCCGGCCGGATGCGGCCGCCGCTCCACGCCGTGAATCCGACACCATCGGCCCATGGTTTGCATGTCCGACCGGAGCAATCGGCTCAGGCGGCTCTGGAAATCGCGTCGGATCGCCGCTCGCCGGTCGGCACCGTCCAATTACCGGGCGCTAGTGTCGACCGCAGTCCCGTGTTCAACAGCACGTGCACGGCGCGAGCGGCGCCCCGGGATGGCCGGCGATGGCGGACGAATGGCGTGACTGGCACCGCTGCTTCTTAGTGAGGGTACTAGGTCTCAGAAAGCCCCTCGTGATGACCGCACCTCTTCAGAAACCTCTCTGCAGGACAGGATAGATAGGTGCGCACTGCGCACCTGCATGCTGTTAACCCTCGCCGGCCGAAGGGGGGGGGGCGGGTGCCGCCCCCCCCCCCATTGGGTTTTCGCGATAGCTCCAAACACGCTGGCGATAGAGAGCTGAAACTTGGCATACCTTACCTTTGATTCAAGCCGGATATTTTGACACCAACCGCATTTTCGGGTCAGGTCAGATCACTGACCTATGACGTCATAAGTGAACCTCTGCACGGTCTTCAGATGTCGCAACTTCGCAACGCCCTCACTGCCAGAGGAGCTTTCGCAGGGAAATGAAACTTGCAGGATTTAGTATCCATTACGAGTTTCACAACTTGTATATCTCGGATTTTTCCTAAAGGTCATATGAGGTCAGGTCATTTTCGTGACCTCACCCATGTAGGTAGGTACCTACCTATACCTAAGTCAATGGGGGAAAATGAAAACTGCTATTCTGGCGCCAGGAACGATCTCCAACTATTTCAAGCACACAAAATCGTGAGCACTCCTTGCAAGGTTAGATGCGTCACTTTTGCAATGTTGACCTTGCGTGACGTCATTTATGACGTCATCAGGGTCATATTAGTTTTTCGTCAATAACTCTCGATCAAATTGAGCTAGCGAGTCAGGAAAGCCACCAATGGACTCAGAAAGACCTGCCGAATCGAATGATATGCGACATGACCTCTTCCGACCAACTTCGTGACCTGGAGGCGCTGACCTGACCTTGACCTGAGGTCAACACCCCAAGTTGACCTGACCCAAACAAACAGCATATAATTCGACGCGCCTGAACCAGGCGAACACGACACTGCCAAAATCAGCGCTCTGCGGCCGTTTTTTGCGAAGTTATTCACCAAAAACTGAACCGTACCTTGGGGCACTTGACCTGACCTCAGAGGTCACCGATTGACCTAGGACCTTAAAATTGAGTACTAATCTCTGCGTCTTGTAACGGCGCACACGCTCGTTTTTTCCGCGACGCGCTAGCTCGACCAGGGGCGAAACGGCGAGGGGGGTCGTAACCGCCCCCCCCCCCCTCGGCCGGCACGTATGTAGAAAACCAATAGGTCCGGCGAAGGATAATACATTACTACTTCTATAATAACTTACTACACTAGTGTGGCACTGTTCATCTAGTGGCACCGAGGTGTAAATAGTTCAGGTGATAGTCAGCCTACTGCTCTTCTATTTTGTTACATTTGTTTCAATCCAGTTGATAATCTACCTAGTACCTAGGCACACTTTTGACCACATCGAGTCACATGAATGCTCGTCCCTGTTACCACCATTTTTCAGCGGATATGTGATCCCATAGCCGGATACCAACACAAAGTTAACGATATTCGTACGGAGACCGATCAAGCGACCGACATATTCAATAGGATGATTTAAATCTATAGCTGTTTTCCGTTATACATCTTGTCAAACAAATGTGAGTGACAAGCGTGAGAACATGTGACAAGTGTTCCTGTCAAACCAGATATACAATCCCTCCCTCCCCCCCCCCCCCCCAAAAAAAATGGACCGTGCCGTTGGGCCCACTGCAGGCCAAATGTTCGCGTGACCTGCGAAATTCCGCAGAGTTCCCTCAAAATATGGCAAATTTTGTATACAGTATATTAACCCATCAATAAAACAGAACGGGCGTTGATCAGAAGACACATATTCCCGCGACAGACATGAATACTGAATAGGAAACACGGAGCATTCAGCATAGCTACGGAGCGAACCCGGGAGCGAAAGACACAGAAACCCACACCATCGCGTAGGCAAGACCCACTTACATGAAGTCACCTCATGTCACTCATCAGCAGGTGGCTAAACAACACGACGAGTGGTTTACCTCCAAAAGTAATCTAAGTGAGTTCTGGAATCGGATGGCAGGAGCTTCTTTACTCCAAACTTTCAGATGAAGCAATAAAGTGGCTATAAATTGAGAAAAAATAAAAACCTAGTTCATCAAGTTACAGCTCGCACGTCCAGAATGGTATCAATTTGAAAGTGAATACGTAGTAGTGTCCTGCTCAAAGTTATGCCGTATTCCGACCATAACATTATCACACGCAGAGCCTTCGCGGGTGGTCATCACACGAAGGCGTCATAAATGAATGCCCAAGTCTCACAGCACCGTCTAACGAAAGATCACCTGGCCCTCCTGCCGACACATCTGAAACAGGTCACCTCCCTGAGCGGCAGGGGCCGGCCGGTGGGATGCACCAGTGAGGCCCGACCGTGTCGCAGCGGGCCCGGGCGCAACCGCACCTCGCAGCCGCCCTCACCTGCAAAACAGGGCCGGCCGCACTGGCGACACCTGTCGCACTGTACCAGAAGCTCCAGTAGACAGAGCGGCAGCTCGGCGGCGCTGGGGAGGCGGCCGCCCAGCCGGCGGACGGCCGCTCCGGCGGCCAGGTGCTCCAGGGAAGGAGGCTGATCAGAGCACGGCTCATAGACCGGCTCGACACCGGCGTTCCCGTGGGTGTCCACCTCCATGAGTTCCATCCGCTCCAGCTGCGCCGGCAGCCACGACAGCCGGTTATTGGAGACGTTGACGACGCGCAGTCGCGCCAGGTTCGTCACACACTCGGGCAGTGTCGCCAGCTGGTTACCGGCGGCGTTCAGGAAGTGCAGTTTTGTTAGGAACGCCAGTGTGTCGGGCAGCGCGGCCAGCCGGTTTCCGCTGACGTCCAGGTAGGCCAGCTGAGAGTCTGCCGGCCGCTCGGCCAGCGGCTCCAGCGTCTCCAGCTGGTTGCCGGACAACCGGAGCTCGCAAAGCTGTGGCAGCCGGCGGTCGATCGGCGGCAGCCGTGTCAGACGGTTACCGCTCAGGTCCAGGGAGCGCAGCTGACTGAGGCGCAGCAGGCGCTCCTCGACGCGCCGCAGTCGGATTCCGTTAGCAGCGAGGTGCTGCAGTCCCGGCGGAAAGGCGCGCACGTACTCGCCCGAAGTGCGCGCCGTCAGACGCGTCGGCGGCCGGCCCATCTGACTGGGCTGTACGCGCTCAGGCGCCGCGGCCGGCGGCGGCCGCTCGCTGTCCTGGCCGCGCGCAGCACCACTCAGCTGTGCCAGGAACGCGCGCACGTGCACTGGATCGCCGGTCACCAGCAGGTCGTGGGCCGGCTCCCGGAAGCTCAGCGACGTCTTCCCGGCGGCCGCATGGCGGGTGAAGACGCGCGTCAGACTGGTCACCTGGTAGCGCAGGCCGCGCTTGTTGCGCGGAGTGTAAGCGGTGACCAGCAGCTCGGGCATGCGTCCTGACAGCACCAGCAGGCCCTGTGACTTGCGTGACGACTGTGAGGCGCCAGCACCGGTTCGGTACACCGTCTGCAGCTCACACTTGAGCTTCATGGTGAACACCTATGATGAAAGCAGAGGCCACATTGTCAATTTAACCAGAATAATGGCACTGACAAGAATGTTAAATACCTGTAAAATATGCCTACCTCATTTTTTGAAACACTTCATAACAAAAATCATGAATAGCTCAAAAGCCTCTTACATATACATTTTGTGTAACCTTTCAAAGACATGATAAATTCATACTTTTGGCAGGAAAATATGAATGACAATGACATGTCTTGCAGATTAAGATCCAGCACCTACTGAAAAAGTCAGCTATTGGTAGTGCAATCACCATTTTTTAGCAGAGGAAACTGATTTGAGTTAAAGTGGCAACAACTCAACCAGGCGTAGCTGTTGTGGAATTCCGTATTATAGATTGATAACTTGAGGCATGTTTGAGCGTTCGAATAAGCTTTTTATTGCCATGGAAACCCAATATCTCAATAAGCTTAGCGCATTGCAGCGTCGTGCCGTGAAACAAGGCCGGAGCCGGAAGTTCCGGAGCCACAAAAATCGGCGGAGCGGTGTGTTCGAGGCTGGCGGGGGCAAGCGAGGGCCCGGCAGCGGGGCAGCACGTGCTCCGGTACATCAGCATCTTCTCGGCACGCACCGCTTGTCTGGGCACTGCTGGCACGCGGCGGAGGGGACACAGCCAATTCGGTGCACGTACTGGAGCGAGCGGCCCCAGTGGCCCGCCCTCATCTGGTGCACCGAAACAGCGTCGTCTCGGTCCTCCCCGGGGATAGGGAGCGGCAGCGTGCTCCCGGGGAGTGGCTTGAATAGTGACTCGGACCAGTTGTCGCGCGCCATTGATGCGAGGCCGCACAATGAACCGCCCAGAGCTCTGTTCGCACCCCGTTTATTTATCAGCAGGCTGCGACCATGCTGCTACTTCTTGGCTCCTCATTGGTCGAATTCAAGTGGTCTATTCGTTAGACCAATGAGAGGCCAAGCCGCGCCAGCAATAACTTCCTTATATGGGGAAAACCGACAGCACGCTGATATAAAAACAGCAACCAAACAGGGCCCTGGTCAGCTCATTCCCCTCGATACCGCAGTGGGCACTGGGCAGGAACCCACTGCGGTATTACTTAACGACAAACGGCGATGTTCAACAAGGCTCTTCACTCTTCCATGCCTACCTCTACGCCAAGGGTTGAGGCCTAACCTGGGCGGCTGCTCCTCCGCTGAGTATAGACTCTGGGTGGCTCGCCAGTTCGAGCACGCGACGACAGGGGCGGGGACGTCTCATCCAGAAACCTCTCCAGTCTCCACAGCCCCCCACAGGGCGAATCTGCTGCTAGATTGACCAGCGTGCCGACTAAATTCGGCAAAAAAATTATGCGGCCGCCCTGTGCTGAAAAATACAGCTGCCGCCATGCGCATGCGAAGTTAAGCCGGATGAGCGCTGAAATTTTTGACGCAATTCCGCCACTACGCCGGATATTCGGCATAACGTGTATTAGTTCCAGTCTGGATAAGGGCCAAGGCGTTGGGGGCATTTATTCGCCCGGCGGCCTATCGTATTTTCCGAGCAGGGGGCAAGTCACTCCCTGGTCACCAGACTGCAAAGTATGGCACGCAGGTCGACGAGGCGCACCGGCCCAAGTTCAAAATCCGCACCAACCCTTCAAACTTAGCCGGAAAATCCGCACCAAAGCGGGCCTAGAGCCCAAAAAATCCGCACCGAACCCACAGGAAATTATAATGCAAGGGACTTTATTCATCTCACTATAATCATTTCCCGTCCAATTTCAGTTTCACTCACCGCTTGAGAAACGCTCACCACGGGACCGCGCAGCCTTGCGCGCAGCGCACTTGCACCGGAAGTTTGAAATGAGCAAATAGACGGACGTCGGTGAAAACGGGGCGCCGGAGGGCATATTGGGTCACGTGACATTCGGAACTTCTCCCCCTCTGTGGGCCTTCTACATGCTAAATGTCACGTGTGAATTTCACGAGCCTTGATCAAATCGCCCCAACAAACTTTCGTATGAGTGAAACCAATGATGTCATTCCAAAGTAGCCTTCTGATTGGCAATCCAAACCACTCTGCTCGCCTAATGTGACATACCAGTCAGCACCGCAACCAACCAGTCTTCGTTCTAATGACGTCGTCATCACGATAATTCCCGATGCGAGAATGGATTTGTTCTGCCGCAATTGTTAGTTCGTAGAGTAAATTTACCCCGCGTTCGATGTCTCTCGGACGGCAAAGATTCTACGTCGTCCGGCCAATCCCGTCCAAGGTCAGCGGGGGCTCGGCTGCGGTTATGGAACGTGATTGGCCGGACGGCGTAGAATCTTCGCCGTCCGAGAGACATCGAACGCGGGGTTAAAGCCGTGGTCTGTCACCGTGCGTCACCGTTGCTGGCACGCAGTCAACAAGGGAACCCGGCCGGGTAAGAAGACCAAGCGACGTCCGCGCCGCACCAAGGTCCAAGCCAAATCCGCACCGCACCGCCAAATCCGCACCGCACCACTCCAAAATCCGCACCAGCCGAACAAGCCCGCACCGACGAGATCTCGTCGAAATTGCCATACTTTGCAGTCTGGCCTGGTCAGTGGTCACTCCGGCAATTTCGGCCGGGAAGCAATCGTAACGTCAAACTGAGACCAGTTCATGTGAACCCGGTAGCAAAAACAACGTCGTGGCATAACATAATGTAAGCAAAGCTCAGCAAAGCTAAGGGAGGTACTTACTACTTACGTGCACAACAAAATAGCCAACAAATGTAGAAAAACGCAAGACCCAAACGCAGTCCCTCTTCTTTCTGCAGCCTTCGGAATTTTGTGGAGTTTTTCATGTTATGTTTACCATACAATTGTCGCATCTGTGTCATATTTGACTCGTATGGCGGTAAATTTTCCGTATACATATAACATTTCTGAGATGCACTAAGAAATAAAAAATGTATTCAAAATTTTTGATAAAAAATATCTAAATTAACTGACGAATCTATAACTCGCTGTTCGTTCAATTTATATGAAAGGCTCGGTGAGTTCGATAAAACTCTAATAAAATTTACCATAAATCTTAAGCCTTTTACGTGAAACATGAGATTTTATAACACATTTCGAAAATATTAGAATAAAATTTGAATGTTGTGGGAAGGACAGAAATAACAATTTTGACAGTCATTTTGGTTTAGGGCTATGAATCCTTCACGAATGACGATCCCGACAGCAACCGCGCTGAAACAACCGTGCGCGCGGCCATATTTGTTTTTCGGCTTGTAAAATTTCCTGGGCGGGAGTTTGGGCCGAAATTTCCGTGAGTATTTCTTTGATGAGCCCATTTTCAACCAGTGCATGATGAACTCTAGGAAACTCCGATCGTTTTCGTTTATTTTTATGAGCTTACTGTGCATTGGTACTCTAGTGCGAGCAAATGTTGCCGGTGCCGTGCTGCAGACCACGTGGTCGCCTAGTGTGGCGCGTTTGATTGCTGTGTGTTGATCTAGTGGCGCGAACACGTTATACGGTACTTTTGCACGAGTGGGGAGTTTTGGAAAGGGTGCTGCTGTGCAGTCTACTTTGTCAGGATCATTGGGGGTCTTCTTACCTGGGGATTAAGGTTTCACATTGAAATGCCTGATGTGTTGTGGATTGGTCTTGGTTCTTGTGATACAAGGTGGAGAGGAGGTCGAATATGCTTGTTTTGGTGCTGCCACGTGCTAATGTTAAGGCACATGTTTCATAGCGTGTGGTGACAGGATGACAGTGAGGTGTCAGGATGACTGCAGGCTTTGTAAACTTACCCAGACTGTTGGGATTAGGAACATGTTGTAGGTGGCACAGCTCACTAAATTCAGCAGGCTGTGTTGTTGTTTTTTATATTATGGTAGGTGGCCATTGCCCACTGAATTCAGCAGGCTGTGTTGTTTTGTTATGTTCTCAACATGCTGTGGCTTGTCATGTGAGTGGTTTGATGCAGTTGAGTTGTTAGCCTATGGACTTGATTATTTGACTAGTATTGTTTATAAAAAATGAGCATGTGCAATTTTGCAATGGGGAACTGACCTGGATGACAGCTATGTTTAACTCATTTTTACCTGGCCTGGAGATTAACATTTAAACATCTCAATCTGGCCTTGGGTGACATTGGAATGTAGTAATTAAGCTCTATCTGCATGGGTTGGGAACAACTTTGAAAAGTCTCTGGATGGTATTTACCAGCATTGAACAAAATAAACTTACAGCTCAGACAATGTTGGGGGCCCTTGATAAATAAGATTGCCTAAGGAAGGAAGCCTTTAAAATGTTTCTACAAAAGATAATCATATAACATGGTTAATGACAATTCACCTTTTAAATGTTGCAAGCACTTAACACCCCTTTTGGTTGTTTAAAGTTAATTGTTACCAGATGAGGTGTGTTAAGAATTAAGAAAGCCATGATAATCAACATAGACATAAAACAGATAATGTTGCACCTTGATGTGATAATTCCTGTTTGAAGTGAATGAAAGACATGTCAATGCAAGGTCAAAGAGGTGATGATTGCTGTAATTGCCTGTTTTGAAGTTCCAGGCATGTGGTGCCCTAGTGTCTTTGACTCTTGTGCCTATTTGGCTCAGCATGCTGTTTGATATAAGTGAATAAATGGAAGAACTGGTCTCTTCAGCTATCACCAGTGCAGGATATCATCAATGCATTTCAGTAAAGCTCCTACCACTTCATAATACTCTTGGGTTATCTGATAAACTTCAATATTATTCCAGGAAATCTCACCATGGCTGAAGGAAATGGTGATGCCACTGTCAAGTCTGAGCCTATTAACATCAAGGAAGAGCCAACAAATTCTGTTGAAAGAACTGAAGACTACCAGAAATTGATCCAACTTGGTCTAAATGAGAAAGTTGCTGCCAAGCTTGATGAAATATACAAAACAGGTGAGTGGCTCTGTGATGGCATTGAATGGCCAGGTTGGGATCACTTAGGATTCCTTTTTATAATGGGCTAAGCATAAGGCAAGATATTTGCAAGGGGCAATGGGTCACTACCTAACCCGCACCCCGTAGGGGGGGGCCGAAACGGCCTCTCCCTGTCCTTTTCCGTCGATATCTCCTAAACCGCTGGATATTGCCGCCAAACTTTCAGGAGCCCTCCGGGCATCAATTTTACACATTGTGACCAAAAATTTTTCCAGAGTCTATGATAGGTTGGCCACAAATGACGTCAGAATGACGTCATGTTCTGTCATTTTCGACCGAAAAAAGACCTTCACGAGAAGACCTGTCAGGCCTACAGCTTTGAAGATACAGAAAAATGATCAAGACATTAAGGGGTAGAATTGACAGGGCTACAAAACTGCTATCTCGGATTTTTGACATTTTTGAGTTTTGACCCCCAAAAATCAAAAAAGCATTTTTTGGATATATTACCCAAAAAATCCAAAAAGGTTTTTTGAATTTCTAAAAAACTGGAATATATGTGATAGTACCCACCGTCTCCTATCTACATACCAAATTTCAGATCGATACCTCGTTTTTGGCCAAGTTATAGCGAAAAAACTGTTCAAAAATGATGACGTCAAATTTTCAAACTCAATTTTTGGCAGTTCTAGACCTCGTAGAGCAAAACAAAGACCACCATTAGACTCCCCGTGACGAGCTGCATCGAATCGATACCCATTTTATGCAAAATATCAACTTTGAAATTTGACCTAGTTTGACCTGACCTTGACCTGACCTTCACCGAAACGTGACCTGGGCTGGCCCCAAAGGCTGCCTAACCCACATAATCGCATTTGTCATGTAAAATGGACCATAAAACATGTATCCTACGACACTTTCATATTGTGACCCCGGTGACCTGACCTCGCTGTGACCTGACCTGGTATCAGTGACCTCAGATAGCAAAGTATGTGTTTGACGAACAATGTACCATCGATGGTTTTCAATAAATTACCAATTTACTCGATTTCACAACACATTTCTTGAAATGCCTGTCAACGGTGAAAATCCGACCTTTGACCTGACCTGTGACGTCATCGGTTTGACCTAGATCAATGAAATTTGGTCACAAGGTAGTTCCCGGGTAGGGCTATCGAACGCCGTTTGAATTTTGAAAATCGGCCGGTAAATTTCTGAGATCTTAGGGGGGGCCGAAACGGCCCCCCCCCCCCCTACGGGTGGTAGGGTCCGCCGATAGCCCTACGGGGCGCGGGCTAAGTGACATATGCATGATGCTATAGGAATTGCTTTCATGGTTGTTTTGAAACTTGTGTGGATGTGTTGTGAATGGCATTTGGCTCTGATGAAATGGAAGTTGCTATCAGTTATTGAGCATTTTACTGTACTAGGCATTGTATTGCATTGTACTGATCAGCTGCCTCCTTATCCCTGGAATCAATTTCAGTTTCAGTGGTTAGGAAAATGCTATTGATTGCTATTTTGGAGCTTGTTTGCTTGTATGTTCTCAGGTTAGATTTATGACCAAGGTCAACAGATGGCCTCTGGAATGCAAAAACAGCTGATGACCCATGAGTTATTGGTGCCCAAAACTTCTTTGGTAAAAAGGAACTTTAAATATGCTTTCTGCGATTCTGCTCTTGAAGCAGTGCGTTAATGGGCGCAAAATGACCTCGCCGTCGGCGCGCCCCTAACCCCCAACAAACAAACAAACTTGAAGCAGTGCCTGTAAAACTAACATTTACAGTGCAGATTTTAATGGCATCATGCTCCTCTTGAAATGATCAGCTTAAAAAGTTCAATTTGGTCAAATATGACTAACTTTGACTCTTGGAAGAAGTATTGACTCTTGACTGCAACAGCTCTTTTGATTGCTGAAAGGGACCATTTCACCCTGATAAGTCATTGATTGGCTATAAAATGTTGTTTCAGTGTTAGTATTTAGTCTTGTATTTTTATCTTAGCCTCTTCTAGCAGTTTTGTGATGATTTCACACCTCGATATATTGGTGAACTGTGATATATGACAGATACATGTTTTTTTCTTTCCAGAAAAGTTGGTCCATGCCGACCTTGACGAACGAGCTCTTGATGCATTAAAAGAGTTCCCTGTGGAGGGAGCTCTGACTGTGCTGAAGCAGTTTGTGGACTCCAATCTGGAGCATGTGTCCAACAAATCTGCCTATCTGTGTGGAGTCATGAAGACATACAGGCAGAAGAGTAAGGCCCAAGGTAAGCTCATTCCTGGTCACAGGTCAGTGGTGCATCGACCACAGCACTGCTAGAAAACAAGAATGTTAGTGGATGTTGAAAATTTAAACCCTGTCTGCCTCAGGTATGATTGTAAAATATAGGCTCCCATGCGTGATCTTTTACAACCCTGAACTTCCAGCTCCACATGACCGATCCTGACCGTAACTACCTTCGGACATTTATTTTATCGATTGCAATGCGGATACCATGGCTGGAAGCCAGAGAGCTCGCTAGGTAAACACCACTTGAATTGTCCTAACGTGACTAAGATGACGGCTACTACACGTTTTGCGCCCAATTTAGGCAGCAGTGCACACCTTTCAGTAATAATGAAGACGATTTCTACAGTACGTCATACTGCATTCGTATATTGAATCTTGGCACGATATTCGTCATGGTGCACCCATTTAATCGGCAGGTTAACCCGCGCCCGGCTGGGGGTCCTGGATTTCCACGCCCTGCTGGGGGGGGGGGGGGTGTTTGAACACCCCCCCCCTTGTAACTCGGCTCCTGGGCCACGTAGCGATACGCGGAAGGCGGCGTTCGAAAGAGCGTAAAAAATGATGACGAAATCACTTCGGTCAATTTTTTGGTCAGG